TTTAGAACTTGCGAAAACCATTTTTTTTTTTGAAAATTTGATCAAAATATCCATATACAGAGTATAAAACGTCTTTATGTACTAATACTATGAAATGATGAAAAATGATTACAAAAGACTGAGATTTCCGAAAAAATTAGCTTTTATCTTTCAAAGTTAACCAATTGTCAATGATATGAAAAGTTTACAAAAAGTTAGTAAAATACAATCTCCGGATGGTATAACCTGAGCCTTGAATTAAAAACTATGAAAAATAACACCATTTTCTCGAAAGGAAATGTGTATGAAATATTTTGAAAAGTCAATCCCAATTCTTATTTTCAATCCTAATACATCGAAAATTGTTTTTTCAAAAACTTGTAAAACCAGAAAAGAACTTGATTGTAATGTTAAAGGTAGGATTACGCTAGATTTATATAAATGTCAAGATAAGTTTGCAACAAGTCAACAAAACACACTAAACCTATGATAAATTAGAAGCCATGGATTTATTTTTAACATTATCATTTTATCAGTACTTTACTATCCAAAAAGTACATAAGACTTATCAATTTTTAGGGTAATCTCCTATTTATGAAGAATAATCTTGTACCCTATGTATTTTTTTTATTGCCGATATACGTGAGATATTCAGTACAAATTCCGTACTTTAAATATGCTGTACATTCTAATAAAAGGAACTGACAATTATTAGACAACATCACAAGAGTATATCCACTATTTTTGTTGAGACAAAGGTTGTCAATCAGGCATAAAGGGACTGTATGCGCAAGTTCAAGTGAACCTCAATGCTAAGATGACAATTCCCGATTCACAATAAACCTTAAAAGCTTAAATGATTAAGTATGAAGTATTGTTTAAAACTGTGGTTATGGTTTCTCTACACAAAGTAACTTGCGCACTTTTACTGCAAGAAATTATTGAATAAAACACCATCTTCCATGCATATAATTGATCAGAGAAAGGTTTTAAGGCAACCGTTGTAAATCGGGCAGTGTAATCTTTACATAAAGGGTCACTAGAAAAAAACGCTTATAGTCCTTTTTAATCTACAAATGAAGTGTCACTTAAAATCATGTAAACAGTCACTATAAATTCTATGTTCTAAGAAGTGTAAACTGTACCTAGAACTGGAGGAAGATCCACACTCTTGTAAGAGGGAGCAGGAGAGCTGGGGCGTCCCATTTCACTCTTATAGGAGGGGGCAGGAGATCCAGGGGTAACCTCGTTATAACAGGGAGGCATATCAACCTTAAACATTTCAATCATTATCGTGGATAATCAATGAGAAGACAATTTTTTGCCCCCCCNTGTATATGTATATGTATATGTATATGTATATGTATATGTATATGTATATGTATATGTATATGTATATGTATATGTATATGTATATGTATATGTATATGTATATGTATATGTATATGTATATGTATATGTATATGTATATGTATATGTATAAAATGTTCTTCATGATCCAGATAACAGAGGAAATTACAGAGAAGGGGTAAGATATCAATTCAGTTTTCTCAGAATACTCAGAATATCATATTACTAAGAATCTATATTCAATATTGTTTAAGTACACATGACTAACTCCTTAAACATCTTATTCATGAAATCAAGAATTCTAAATGGAGTCTTCATACAGGAATCGAGTCTTTGCCACAAATTCTGATTTTCTAATATCAATATCTTAGAAACCTTAGACCTTAGACATTTCAAAAAATGAATACTCTAGGATTAAATCATCGAAGATCGAAATATCATATGTTTACACCATTAGATAATTAGATTGCAAAGATGTGAGAACTAGAGAACTTTAGTTTGTAGCATAGACTTAATTTCTTTTAAAAGGATATGAAGGACGTTAAAAATACGAAATAATCGTAACCATTTAAAAAAAATCTAGAAAACAAGAATTTTTATTAATTTAATATTGATATAGATTTAATAAAAAGTAATAAGTATTTGAACTTCATAGACGTAGATGAACCACTACTCCTTAGCGCCGGTTCACGTTGAAGAGGAGTAGTTTAAATTAGACCACTCAGTTCAACTACTTCTAGCTATTAATTAAATTTGGTCTCTGATTTCAAATCATTTAACTCAAATGTAAACTCAGTAATTAAACTACTAACCGTGATCACAGAAACAGTCAGATCATTGGAGGCGTTGGCTTCAGCTTCCTTAGCTTCAGCAGCAGTCAACTCCTTGCTAACAACCGCAGAGGGAGGGCTCAGCTGTAATATAAATATAGATAAATTAGCTGATAACAGGAGAAGGAGGATTTAGCTTCAAAATAAATATAGATACATTAACTGACAACAGCAGAAGGAGGATTTAGCTTTAAAATAAATATAGATAAATTAGCTGACAACAGCAGAAGGAGGACTTAGCTTTAAAATAAATATAGATAATTAGCTGACAACAGCAGAAGGAGGACTTAGCTTTAAAATAAATATAGATAATTAGCTGACAACAGCAGAAGGAGGATTTAGCTTTAAAATAAATATAGATAATTAGCTGACAACAGCAGAAGGAGGACTTAGCTTTAAAATAAATATAGATAATTAGCTGACAACAGCAGAAGGAGGACTCAGCTGTAATATAAATATAGATAATTAGCTGACAACTGGAGAAGGAGGACTTAGCTTTAAAATAAATATAGATAATTAGCTGACAACAGCAGAAGGAGAGCTCAGCTGTAATATAAATATAGATAAGGTTTACTGACAGCAGTAGAAAAAGGACCAAGCTTTAATATAAATATAAAAGAATTAATATTTTAAATCCTGGCTTTAGGACCTAATTTTCTATTTGTGATTCTGTAAAATAATTTGTAGCATTTTATTTACATCTACTGTAGTATGAAGGTAAGATATATGTATAGTGCTCTATCTGTTTTCAATCTCGTCATTTTGGCAACAGATGGTTCTGCACAATTTAACCGAACCTCCCTCTCAATCATATATTTATATATTTATCTATTGTATCAACTATAAAGAATATAGATCTGTCTGATTATATAAATTATTAAAGTATGATCCAAATATATAAATAAAAGAAGATTTAGATTTGAATATACTAAAACACTAATTATGTGACAGGGTTTCAATTTATAAAAATCTAAAATCCCTTCCCTTCCCTTCCCTTCCCTTCCCTTCCCTTCCCTTCCCAAATCAATCAATCACTCAATTT